TTGCATTTTTGGTTTTGCTTGCTTGGCTAGTTTTTAGTATTATGGTAATAAATACGACTTATGTGATTTCGTTGCAGGGAATTTGTTGGGATTTCCTGTATGACCGAATACATGGCCAGTTTTGTGACTGTTCTGCATGTGTTGGAAAAACACATATATTCTTCTGTTTGTTGAGGACAAGCCATATGTACCTGTATACATTGTTCTGGGCATTAACAGGACAGACAGTGCCTCCATGTCTATAGTCTTCATTTCCCTGATTCCTCACTCTTTTTACTATTGTCTTTATCCTTCTGTAGTTTTCTTCCTTTCTGTGTGTTTAATCTGGTGAGTTACCCAGAAGACGTAGCCGCGTGTGTCTGTCATTCCCCCCACTCTAGACCTTTTACCTTGCCAGCCGTGACTGCCAGACAAAGCCACTGAGAGCAAGGAGTCCCCTCCCACAGTCTCCAGCCATATCCGTAGCCTGAATCTCAGTTCACATGTAGCTCTATGTAACTGGTCCTCACAGGCCAGTGAACACACCCTCCCATCCTCTGAAACCCCAAGCCCTGACGCCCACAGATGGGGTGAAGTCTCTGTGTCTGCATCTCTGTTCCTCCAGCCCTCTGAGCAGATATTTCATGGCCTCTCAGCGGTTAGTGTTGAAGAGAGGCCTGAAGACAGCCTGACTTTTCCTTTATGTGTGAAATTTTCTCATCTTTTACATGTTTGCTTGACATGTTGTATCTTTAAAGAGCCAACATTTTGCTAGTTTACACAAGGGTAAGTGTGTACTCATTTCATGCCGCTGCACATGATATGTACATTCAGGTGTCTTTCCAACGCAGGAGTGTTTTCTTCTGTATTGTGATTATTACCTCTTCCAGGCTACCCACAATTCTCATGGTGAGCCCGGTTCTCTGTCTTTATGTCTGTGACCTTCTCTTACTGTTTTCCCATATTGATCTTTTCCTCTACGCTCTAGGAAACCTTCCCAGTTTGTCCTCCACATTACTTATTGGTTTTCCCAAGATTAATTCTGCTGTTACAATCTTCAAATGCAGGTTCTAATCCTGCTGCAGTGTTTTCAGTCTCTGCAATTTTTTTGTCTCATCCACAGTCTTTTAGTCTGGGTGCTGATCCCTTATAACTCTACACCTCTTCACTGACACTGCATTATTATGCCCTATGAAAATGCAAAACTGTTACCAGACAGTGTGTCCTGGTTGTTGGTAGAATATACCTGATGTCTTCAAGCACACTTTTGTTTCCTTTGCTCTGCAGTATTTTCCCATAGGTTCTTTGCTAACTTTTCCTGTTAGTCCTTCTTGCATCGTCATTAGTTTGCCAGTATCCAGCATATTCCAATTTCCCCTCTGCTAGCTTAAATTAGGAGTTTTTTCCTATTCTCATTGTCTTCCTCTGTGTTTCTAGGCAAACCTAGCCACCTGTTCAACGCATATGGTGAATGAGTGGGTGGATGGAAACAACAAAAGCCCTGCAGCCTGGCCTGGCTTTTTGCAGCCTCCACCCCAACCTTTACATTTCATGGCTACACGCCAGGTCTTCCCTCTGCCTACCTCGATGTTTGCGGGGAGATACATTTTCTACGTGGCTATAAACAAAGAGGAATTAAAGGGAGTTGGGGGTAGGGCTTGGATGCTTGGACAGCCCACCCCACAATAGAAGGCTCAGGTGTGGGGTTTTTGTTTGGTTAGTTTTTGTTCATTTTGTTGTGTGGTGAGCATTTATCTTACTTCCTGGGCCAGGATTTAAGATTGGCAGAATACAGGGCAGAGGGGAGTGGTCAGCACTTATCCTACTTAGATGCTGGAGAGAATGGGGTTTGTTTTTTTTTCAGTCCATTCCCACCGACTCTGTTTAATGGAAGTTTTCCCCATCCATTTACTGGCAACAAGCTCTTGGCCATTACTTTTCTAGGTATGTAGTTTTTCACTTTTTTCTGTGTCTTCCCACGCAATTTTGGTGGAAAAATTTAGAGAGGTTCTTGAGAGATGTTTCCCAGACACCATTTTTAAACGGATCCTGCTAATTAACTTTTTGTTTTGTTGATTGAGATGTCAGGATTGCAGAAGGCTGCTGTTTTAGTTTCTCTGATGTTTCATTTTCTTTGTTGTACTCATTAGTGAAACTTGTTTCCTTGGAGTAAATCTGCCCCCTGTCTAGCCTCCTAGGTCCCAATTATTCTTAAAACACGTATTAAGAATCTTGCCACATTGAGAAGCTACCAACTCTTTATAACTAATAATCTGTAAATATTTTATGTTTATGCCTTGCTACAGAAAGAATATAAAGTGGTTTATGTAAATACAAACATGAGAGAATAAAAGGAAATATCACAATAAGTGGGACAAAGGAAAAATAAGGATAGGAAAAATAAAATGAAGCCAGGAATGATGTTAGTTCACAAAATGGGTGCAATGAGGTCATAATAGGACCTCATGGGCTGCAGATCTCAAACACTTGGCTCTGAGTTTTCTAGAAGAATGCCATGAGCAGTGTCCTGAGCCATGGAAACCATATTAGAACAATGAATGCATGCCTTAAAGGATGCTGCTCCTGGAGCTGAGAACCAAGAAATTTACCTTGTGGGTCCACGTGGGGAGAATGCAGAACACAGCTCCTCCACCCTAAACCACTTCAGATGAATACCCTCGGAAAGTTGCTTCTCAGCACCACTCACTGTGGAGAGTACACCCAAGCACAGTCTAGTCAAGCCAGGCCGATGAGGAGCCAACAGACACTGACCCCTGCTGGTCCAGGCTGGTCCAGGATTAGGTTTTGAGTATGCAGAGGAGCAGATGGCTGCCTCCCTAGCCCTGGTTCATGAGTGCAGCTCTGAATTCAAGGGGATGTTCTCTGACAGGTGCTTGCAAGGCCGTGCATGTTGAGGGTAGTATGACACACCCACCCTGTGGACACTGAGGCACCCAACAGGTATGCCTACCTCTGACGTGTGCCAAGCAAACCTCAAATCTACTCAGATTGCATTTTAATTTCCTCCAGTACACCGACCAAAGGGGGTAAACCCTGCAGCCCCATCCCCAGTCTTCACCATTGATTTGCAGATCTTTTTAGGCTACAACCTTGCTTTTTGTGAAAACTTGAAGAGAAGACAATAATATGGTGGAAAGAGGGACCGTTCTGAGACAAGGCCATCCTCTCTCCTACCCCACCCCTACAGCAGCCTAAGCAAACACAAACAATAATCTGGAAACAGTTTAAAGCAGGTGTGACCAATATCCCCTGAACAGAATACCCTTGGTCAAGTGTCTGTCAATCAAGTGTCTAGAAAAGAGCGAGATATTTGCTGAGTAACAATGCCTCTTTAAAACAGTCATTTCCAATGGGGCCTTTTTCTTTATCAGTCCAGTGATTATTTTTCATTTCTACATTGCCTATTACCTTCTAATCACCTTAATACAGACAGCTGCCTTTAGTACTTGTCCAGTCACAAACTGTATCAAGCAAATGTGATGTACAAACATCTTAGGGAATGAAAAGATATCTCACATCTTTTAGCAAAACAGGATGGTCCAGATTCTGGTTGCAGATGTGTGGTGAAGCCCTTTCTCCTGAGTTACTGAATAAATATAACATTTTCTTTGGTCCTTATAAATATATTGTTTACTCATCGAATCTTGAGCTGAAGAAAATTCACCTAGGATGCTGTCACATGGAGACTCCTAGTCTGAGATTATACAATCAACTTCACTATCATTGTTAGAGTCTGGGGAGCTGCTCTCTTGGAATTCATTTTATGAGTCATCCAATAATTGTGAAATGTTACTCTCTGTCAGTTTCTTCTCTTTGCAATTATGAAAAAAATTTGAATTGTCAACTGTATGTGTTGAGCTGAAAACAGACTAAAATGGTGATGATTTATGTCACTATTGAATCACCCTTCTAGGCAATTCTACTGTCCTATTATCTTAGTCTCTTTTAGCCTAATTGGAAATAATTGATGAGTAATGATGAAGGACAATTCCCAGAATGATAAAATAGCAAAATATTTCAAAAGATAGGAAAAGTAAGATCACAAAGTTTCCATCATGTGTATTTACGAAAGGGTCCATGAAACCATAGTAATCACAAAATAAGAGTTTTATTTTATTGTAAAAATATGTAAATTTTCTCTTTGTTCTTTGGAAGCCCTTTAAGAAGGAACAAAGGCCATGAATACCAAGCCTCATAAATAGCACAACTCAAAAACTAAAATTGGATCTATGGGCCCCAACAGTAAAGTGAAGGTCACCTTGTTAAAATTCCATACACATCTGTCCCACTATCGGTGAGAACAGAGTGAGCGACGTTCTCCATGTCCTCCTGGGGTTTCCCAGGCCTGGCAGGCTCTACTCATGGAGCTTGGTGCATACTCACCACATGGGAGGGGGAAGCCGGAGACATAATTCTCAAGCCAGAACTGTCTCTGTCAAGGGTCTGCCACCCTGCGACCCTCACATAAGTGCAAGGATCTTTGCCCTTTGCCCAGGATACTGTTCTTCCTCCCTCTTTCAGCTGGGTAACTGCTACACTTTGAGTCTCAGCTCAACCTCACTTCCACAAAGAAGCTTCCCCTGACCCCATTGTGGGCCCTACGGGCTGTAGGAGCCTCCCTCCCAGCCCTCTCTGCACCACCAGCCTGAAAGTGTGGGTTCCTGTCTCCTGCCCTGGCCAGTGGGGCTGGAGCCAGGTTTGTGCAGCCTGCCTCATGAGCACCAACACAGGGATGCCCTGGTGGGCGCTCAGTTACTATTTTGTGAATGAAAAACGGAATGAGTTCAAATCTGTTTCTGAGCACAGATGCTCACCTGCCTGAACCCTTAGAAGAGTGTTCAGATGCATGTGTTTAAGAGAATAAAATGTGAGCCCTTCTATAGAGAAAGCAGATGAGGGAAGAGAGCTTTATTTCCCTGGGGTCCTTCCTCAGGGGCTACGGGTGGAGCAACTCCACCATAGCAGAGCAGTCCTCAGCTTATGGTTCTGCTTTCATTTAGGCGTGGGCTGACTTGTCAGAGAATGATGTCGTTAATGAGGCTGTGCAGCCGGAGACCCACACAGTCGCCACAGACAAGAAACTGAGAAACAGGTTGTACGAGCTAGCAGCGCAAATGAATGAGAAGGACACTTCTTCAGGGGAGGACCAGGAATCTGAGCCTAAGACAGAGCCTGAGAACCAGAAGGAAAATCTGTCCTCTGAGGACAACAGCCAGAGCGTCCAGGAAGAGCTGCAGAAGGTAAGGGCCATGCAGGCACCTGTGGACAGCTCAGCTTCTACACTTGGGTGGGCGGGAAGGTCCTGTACAGACATGTGCTGGGTCCCCAAAGAGCAATCTCTAAACTACCCATCCCTGTGTACTAGGGAAAGCCCAGGAAAACCGGTCTTGATGATCACTCGTGGTTCAATCAAGGAAACAGTTCCACATGACCCATGGAAGCCTCCCAGCCTCCTGTCTCCTTCTAACTATGCTTCATCAAGATGGCCCTTTAGTTTGAGCCTGTCGTTTAGCGCTCATGATCTCTCCTGCTGGTAAAGACCAGGGAGGAATTTCGCCTGTGGATTGAGAATATCTAGCTGGCCCTGTTCAGTCAACAGTGAAGCTTCATTCCACGGTCTTTGTGTTAAAAGTGGCCATCGTGGCTCTCTGCAGTTTTCAGATTTTGGCTTGTCTTGGCCTCAGAATCCATTTTCAAACAAACCTTATGTGGTATTCCCAAATTTTAAACAGGCAAGAGTGTAAGATAAATTCTAACCGAAATGAGCAGGAGACAAGAGGCAACAAAAGGCCAGGCAGGTTATTTGAGCGCCATCCTGGGTGAGGTTCACCAGTCCGCATAAACGCAGACTGGAGAAGTCGCGCTCAGCCAGACAGGCAGGGAGATTTTATAAGCACAGGGAAGGGAGGGGGAAGTGGGCCACGCCAGGGGTATGTGGGGAATTTTTTTTGGCTCAGGGTCAGGTGATGGACAGCCAGAGGTCTCCTCCTTCCAGATGGGGGTGGTCTGCATCCGGGGTTTGTGGGCAAGTCACGGGACTGGAATCCAGGAAGTGCTGTCTGTTCCTTCCTTATATGGCACAGAGCTATTTGGTGCTCTTTGTTCCGTTTGCACTGTCCTTGCTTTCCTCCCTCCAGTACCTCCAGCCTTACATAGAGCACCCTTGCTCTTTGGGTCCGTGAGCATCTAGGAACCACAGACAAACCCCTTGATCTCCAGTCCCAGTCTCTCCCTCCCCATCCCCCAAGCCAAGCCCTGAGTCCTAAGGGACATTTACAACCACAGGAGACAGGCCCAACCTCTGGCAGGAGGGACCCAGCCTCCCACCCAGAGTCAGTGCTCCACCCACTGTCCTGGGGCAGTTGCCTGGGTCCCCTGCACAGCCTCCCAGAACACATTCATGCCACACTTGGCCACTTAAGAGTCAGGGGGGTGCTGACCTTTGCTGAAGGTCTTCTATGTGATGGTGCTTTGCATGTGTTAGTCAATTTAATGAATAACAGCCTCTGAAGTAAATGCAGCCCCTTTCTGCAAATGAGGAAATTGAGGCTAGTCATAAGGTACTTACCGGAGGCCCACAGCTAGTCAGTTTCAGAAATGGGACTGCATCGCAAATCCGCTTGGCCTCAAATCACAGGCCCCTTCCCTTCTGTCTCATCTGGAAACATTTAGATGTGTCTGCACTAGCAACCAGTCACCCTATTCTGAGAGAGCTGCATAGGCTAACAAGCTGCTGGCGACCCCCCTTCATCTGCTCAACAGCCAACCTGGGGTGCAAGGAGGGGCTGGGCCAACCCAGGATGACCACAGAGGGTCAAGAGCAGGCCCAGATGGAATTGGGCCCATTCTCCCTGCTGGACCCCTGAACCCTCCAACACCCCCAAACTGCCTGTCACTCACCCCACTCCAGCCTCCACAGCTACTGAGTCCTCACTCATAAACCTGCAGTGTGCTCTGCCCGTGTGTGGCTCATGTCTTTCTCCTGGCATGTCTGTGGCTCAGAGAGCAGTGCATGGCCCTCCCAGGCAGCCCTTCCCTGGGATGTGGGCTCCGACCCATTGCTTCCTCAGTGTCAGTGGGTGTGATCACAAATAACAAGTGGATGCTTTCTGTTACTAGAACCAGTGCCCCATTATAGTCATGCCTGAGTGCTGGAGCTGAGAGCCAGATGGTAGCTGAAGAACACCTGATTTCTTACAGCTGGCTTTGCTGCCCATGGTCCCAAGGCTCCACAAACTCATTCTGCATGGTGGCATGCTAGGCAGTGATGAGCCATGCACACCCACCCACCCCTCAGCCTGCAGGCCTCCATGGCTGCCTGTAAAACTCCATGCAGCAAACAAAAGAGATAACATATTTTTCCCCATCAGGCATGGGCTACTCTGATTAAAGGAAAATAGAAATACAGGTTTATGTATTGAATATTGTTTAGAAGAAGAAGGATATAGAGATAGCCTTTAAGATTAAATTGAGTTTGAAACACAGCCGTGCAATTTGCAAACTCTGGACTGGTTAGCACTCCTTAAGACAAGCCAGCGTCATTCTCGCCCACCTACTATGCCCCATCTCCGAACTGTTCTCACTGACCCCCCAGGCCCTTCTTGGCCCCTCCAGTCTGTTCTCCATTCTGCAGCAGAAGCCACCCTGAAGCCCCAAACTTGATCCTGGTATATTCACAGACCCGCATCTCCCTTGTTTTTAAAATTGAGCCCATCACTCAGCCCAGGTGTCCATCGTAGAAAAACACGTCTTGCTCTTTATGAACTATGAGGACTTAACCAGGCAGCATAAAGCACACAGAGCAGGAGCTCAGCAAACAGTCATTACAGCCCCCCATAACAACCCCGAGGAAAAGCCCTCACTGCTGTGAAGTAGCACCCCTCTGCCAGTGCTGACTGGAGTCTAGTGCTATTGCCAGCCAGCCCTCATGTGTCAAGTTGTGGCTCTGTAAGCTCATTTGGCGCTGCATCATGTTCTGCAGCATGTAAGAGGAAGCACTGCATCAGGCCCCCAGGTTCCCATCATTAGGATCAGAATGACTAACTTCCCCTGGGATCTAGCCACAGCGGTCTGTACCTCACAATGCATGGTTGGGAGCAGGTCTGGAAATGTAACATGAGCTATGAAATACCATCAGGAGAAGCAATCTGCAAATTATTGGAATTTCAGAAAGAGAAAGGGGCAAAAAGCTTGTTTAAAGAAATGATGGCTGAGAACTAATCAAATCTGGGGAGAGATTTGGCCATCCAAACTCATGAAGCTCATAGGCCCCTAAACAAATTCAACTCAAAATCTCCAAGACACATTATAGTGAAACTGTCAAAAATGAAAGACAAAAAGAGAATCTTAAAAACAGCAAGAGATAAGCTTACCATTTATAAGGGAACCCCAATAAGGCTATCAGCAGTTTCTTAACAGAAATGATACAGGCCCAACAGAGTGGATGATATATTCAAAGTGCTAAAAAAAAAAAACAAAACTGCCAACCCAGAACACTTTTCCTGGCAAAGTTCTCTTTCAGAAATAGAGAGATTAAAACATTCCCAGACAAACAAAAGCTGAGACAATTGATCACCACTAGATCTGCCTTACAAGAAATGCTTAAAAGGAGTTCTCCAAGCTGGAATGAAAGGACAATAATTAGTAACATGAAAATATATGAAAATATACAACACACTGGTGAAGGTAAATTTATAGTCAGTATGGTAGTGTGCTGACCACTTAACACTAGTAAAAAGACTAAAGGAAAAAAGTATTAAAAATAATTACAGCTATAATCATTTGTTAATGAATACATGATATAAAAAGAGGTAAACTGTGATATCAAAAACATAAAAGAGGGAAGTAAAAGTGTAGACTTTTGTATACCACTGAAGATAAGTTATCGGTATAAAACAGACTGTTAGATCTTTAAGATGTTATATGTAAACCTCATGGTAACCACAAAGCAAATACCTACAGTAGATACACAAAAGATAAATAGAAGAGAACCAAAGCATACCGCTGTGGAACAGCATCAATTCTCAAAATAGCAAGAGAGAAAGAAGGGAACAAGGGAAAAGCAAAACAGCAGTAAACTATTAATGAGATGGCATTTGTAAGTCCTCACCTATCAATAATTACTCTAAATGTAAATGGATTAAATTCACCAATCAAAAGATACAGAGCAGCCAAATGGATAAACAAACAAACAAAAACAAGACCCAACCATATGCTACCTACAAGAGAGTCACTTTGCCTTTAAGAACACACATAGGCTTAAAGTGAAGGGGTGGAAAAAGATAGTCCAGGCAAGTGGAAACCAAAAGAGAGCAGATATAGCTATAGTTATCTCAAACAAAATAGACTTTAACTCAAAAGCTATAAGAAGAGACAAAGAAAATCATTATATAATGATAAAGCAGTCAATTCATCAAAAGGATATAACAATCATAAACATATATGCACCCAACATTAGAACACCTAAATATACTAAGCAAATACTAACAGATCCAAAGGGAGAAAAAATAAACAACAATGCAATAATAATAGGGGAGTTCAACAATTATATAGATTATCCAGACAGAAAATAAATAAGGAAACATTGGAATCAAACTATATTTTAGATCAAGTGGATCTAACAGACATATACAGAACATTCAACCCAGCAGCAGCAGAAGGCACATTCTCCTCAACTACGCAGGTGCTGTTCTCCAGGATAGACCATGTTAGATCACAAAACAAATCTTAATAAATGTAAAAAGATTGATATTATAGTATCTTTTCCAACCATAATGATATGAAACTATAAATCAGGAGGAAAACTGGGATGTTCACAAGTATGTGGAAATTACACTCCTAAACAACCAGTGGGTCAAAGAAGAAATCAAAAGGGAAATCAAAAAATATCTTCAAAGAAAGGAAAATGGAAACACAAGATACCAAAACTTGTGGGACACAACAAAAGCAGTTCTAAGAGTTTATAGTGATAAATATCTACATGATGAAAAAAGAAAGCTCTCAAGTAAAAACCTAACTTTACACCTCAAAGAACCAGAAAAAGAATAAACTTAACCTAAAATTAGCAAAAGGAAGGAAATAACAAGGAACTGAGTAGAAATAAGTGAAATAGAGACCAGGAGAGCAACAGAAGAGATCAACAAAACTAAGAGCTAGTCTTTTTGGAAAAAAAAAAAAACAAAGAAAACTAACATACCCTTAGCTAGATTAAGGAAAAAGAGAGATGACTCAAATAAAATTA